GCGTCAGATTCGATTCGTTCCATGTTCAATCAGTTTGTCTAATACCTATTTATTTGTTTATCTCCTTTTTTGCGCGAATTCATAACCATGAAGCTGTTAAATATTGACTGCACATCTAGAGTGATGAAAATCCGATGTGCAGTCATAGTTTGTGTTGGAGTCATTTAAACGTTTTTCCCATACATTTTTGGGTCAAGAAACGCAGTTAATATTTGCATAATTTAATATACTTCATCTACAATCTCGAAAGCTACCTAAATCCTTTACCCTATTGTAAATGTTGTTTCTACCAATGGATCGTGACTAACATAGAACTCACCAAAGACACAATTCACAAAGTCGTTTGCTCATGAAAAGAAGAGTTTTAAAAACTTAGCTTATAAAAACCGTAAGTGTATAAACCATTCAGAAAAGATGAATACCATCACATGAAACAAATAACCATAGTAATCCCATAAGATAATAGAAATATTTTAAGAGGTCATGATCCTAAACACATGTCATAGGCTTCACATTCTCTACATGGTCTAGAAAGGTGTAAGCTTTACAGCTCTCAAAAGCTTCCATTCCTTGGATATTATCAACTACTGTGATAGTGTTCATCTCGAGATTGTAGTAGAGAAGGAAGAAAGAGTTCTTTATACAGTCGGGAGACAACACAATTTCACTTGTACTAGTCGTTCCAACAAAACGTAACTTCATCTCTTCTATTATAAGACGCCACAGAGGAGGCAAAACATAGATATAATTCGACCATTCATGTTTCTCGGCGTCTTCTACAACCCATAGTTGAAAATCGGTATACATTCCACTAACAATGTTGAGCATAGCTAATTTACCCTTGTGATTTATTAGAGTCGGTTCAAGATATCCACCGAAGTTAAGTGCCATCATGCCTTGAGCTTTCTTAATACAATTGAACTTCTCATACCTAATATCAAAGCAAACGATATCAGGAAACTTGTCACCATCGTGGATCCGTGCTAAGTAATAGCAAACACCATTGATGCATATCCCATCATATTTCCCATCAGATACACCACCTTGTCCCCATATATTAGGAGAATGTGGTATGTCACAATAAATCATTCTCCATGACAGTTTCTTTCCGGTTCCTAATGTCAAGACTTGATGTTCTTCAGATGAAGAGGCCGGACTATGATATTTGTTGGTCATACACAAAACTTTGAATTGTTTTCCGATCGGATCATACCCTAAATAGTTGATCACTATCTTCCTCCTTGTTTTCACTCTAGGTAAGGTCAAGTATTGTCCTGTGCTAGGGTTACATATCAATGGAACAGTAATCGTTCTTCCGTTTAAAGTATGTTGATTAATACAACATACCAAGCCACGAACAGGACGACAAATACCAGAGGGACAATTCACTGGGAAACTCATATGGTAATTAGCGGCTAAAGGAGGTTGTGGAGATGAGAAGAAGAATGTCTCGCCGTCTTTTACACAGACGACCAATAGCTTCGGTCGAGAGGAAGATATGGTATAGAACGATTCTGTGAAATTCAGACTAGGAATTGTAGAATCCCATAGCTTCGATACGCAACGAAACCTAGCTACAGACTTGGCAGGCAATCTAGTAAGTATCTCGATGATTAGATCAAACGGGATCGATTCGAATTTTTCTATTTCATACCTTGAATTCGGACAAGGTCTTTTCTTGCTCATGTTGGAGAAGATTTTCTGCTTTTTTCTTCAATCCCATCCTTAAAGAGTCTTTTATAGAAGAACCAAACGTCTCTCTCAAGATAGGGTTTTTATAGATAAATAAAGAAAGTATAAGGGTCTATATGTAATATAATATTATTAGTATGAGGGCCTGGATACTAAATATTAAAAGCAAGGATTCTTCGCTAATTCTTGTCAAATTTCTTCGATTCCTTTTATTACGTTTTTGAGATCTAAGGGCTACTTGTGATCCGTTTCAATTCCTGAAATTTTGGTATGTATCTGATTCTTGAAATATTTAG